GTTGTCGTAACACTTCACTAAGAGAGAGAGAGTCACGAGACAGTTATTGAAGGGTACAGTTATTTTTGGTTGTCCCTCGTTATTGATATTGAAAGGTATTGTTACAATATTGTAATTTCTGTATTTTTTAATTAGTTTTTCTTTCTGTTTTTTTTTTTTTTTTTGCTGGTTCCATTATTATTGATTTATTGATATTTATGGCAAATTGCTTATTAATATTGGTGTGATGTCCTGGCCAGGCATTTGTTTATTAACTGTGTTGAATTTATTTCTAAGTGTTGTTATTGTGAATAAACTGTGTTTTTGTTGTTGAACTCTGATTGTAGCGGCATGTTCATTTTTGACCGTTACAAAGGATTTAACATTGTCTGTGTAATTTCGTGAATATACACGTTGATGTGTCCAAGGACATAAAAGGTCACTATGTATCTGAATATTGTGGGTATTTTTGTAAATATAGAACAGTATACATAAATACAAAGATTTAACATTGTCTGTGTAATTACGTGAATATACACGTTGATGTGTCCAAGGACATAAAAGGTCACTATGTATCTGAATATTGTGGGTATTTTTGTAAATATAGAACAGTATACAAAAATACAGTATAAAAAAATAATACACATATAACACGTGCGTGTTTTATAAGCTAAGGGATGGTATTTTTCGCCATTTCCTATACTACTTTCGATATCGACCTGTATTCTAGGACTTCAGGCTGTAACTTAAAAATAGTTCACGAAAGGTTTACATTTATACGGTCTACCATCACGTAAGATTGCATGACGCACTCGCTTACTGATCACACCATGATGTCGCTAGTCGTTTTCCTTTTGTTTTACGGTGAGATAACATCGACTGTCCGGAAAACCCCCTTTAATAGCTGTGTAAAACGGCCCATTGCCATTACCGTACGGTTTTAATGAAATTTTGTTTGACATATGGTAACCATTGTTAATGAGGTAGGTCGCTAACTTATTAATATTAATTACAACTTTGTGGACAATATACTGGCCTGATATTGTTGCACTACGAGGAGGAAAACATAAATTTATCCATTTTCTCACGAAATATTTTTATTAAAACCCATTTCTATTTTCACTAAATTTGCTGGGAAAACAAAGCGGAGTTTTAATTTTCAAGAAAATTGCAATTTTAAATCTTACAACATATAATAAAATAACTTTAGATAAATCACATGTAGCCCTGATTTTACTTATCCCATTACGATTTCTTTTTACCCTGCGAAAATAATTTTTATATTCGAATAAGTAAGCCAAACATATTCTTAATTTCATAGTCTTGGATAGTTTTAAATATAGTTTTCCAACTTATAATATAACTTCAAAAACTTTGATTGTAAATGGTTAACCATTAACCTATAATCTAAGAGAATACATTTCATCAATTTTCTAGTTTTTCTTCTGCAATGTGAAATGAACATATTTGATTCATTTCATGAGTTATTTGCACCAATTTGTCATCTACGTAAAAGTAGTAAAAAAATCCGCAAATTACTTTGCATCGTCTACTACAGTTGCGCTAGACTTTAATTTAGAGTGAATTTTGCTGCTACTACTTGTGAAATTAATGAGCAGAAAATCAAAAATGTATAATATTGTTACGACAGCGGAAGTCACGTGACGCTGGTAACACGTCATGATATTCTCGAAGGATCTTGACTTTTCCTGGCAACTCTAGTCTTTTCCAGGCGCCCTCTATTTTAGTATATAAGCCCGGCAAATAAAGCGGAGAAGAATGGCAGGAAGCAGATTGAAGAGAAATATAAAGACAGATAATTGAGTCAAGTGAGCGGTAGTGACCGTAAGTAAAGTGCGTGAATCGTTGTGAATTATAGCGTGTGTTTAAGTTAAAGTGACTGTGGAAATTCTGTGTGTTGCAAAGTCGTATTGAGAAAGAATAAACTAGTTTTATTTAAGAAAGGACTTGTATCGCTGAAGTTCCTCGGGAAGAATTTATACCGGAAATAAACAAACGAACAGAAGCGCCACAATATGTTTTAAATATTTCCCTGTTATACTTTAAAAAAGACATCAATTAATACATGAAAGAAATTTACCAATTATTTCAAATTTTAAATTACTAAAGTTAGTCAAAACATGAAACTTTTTACCTCAATCGAAACTTCACTTCACAACATTTGACGATTCTTTTTAATAAGTGCTAACAAATATTTACTATTTTAAAGTAGTACTCAGTCAACTAGCCATATTAAAAACACATTATCCGTAATCCGTGTATGGTAATCAGATACATGTTTGAAAATCGATAATTTACTCATGTTAACACTGTTAGATGCAGCGTTTTAATTACAACTCGTAAGAACAAATTATTGCGTATCTGTTCGTTTGTTAATTTCCGGTATAAATTCTTTCCGAGGTTCTTCAGTGATACAAGCCCTTTCTTAATTAAAACTAGTTTATTCTTTCTCGATACAACTTTGTAATACACTTAACAACTTTATAACACACGATATAAATCACAGTAATTCACACATTTTACTTACGGTGCCTACTGTTCGCTTTACTCAATTATCTCTATCTTCAATCTATTTGCCTCTCTATTCTTT